AGGGCAGGACTGTGTCCAGCATTTATCTCTCTACTCCCAGCCCAGCCCCCTGGGCATCTGTGCTCCTCCTCATCCTGAGCCTGGCCCCGTGCAAGGTCCTGGCTGGGAGGGGACTCACTCCACAGCCCTGAGTGCCCTCTCCCCGCCTCCCTGAGGCCAGCAGGCCTGTCTGCAAGCCTTGTCCCCAGCAGCTGGGGACTGGACCCACCACTTCCTCTGGTTTCAGGTCTATGTTCAGGACATCCTGCGGCAGCAGCTGGCCAGCGAGGTGCTCCGTGTGCTCCACGAGGAGCCGGGCCACCTCTATGTTTGTGGGGATGTGCGCATGGCCTGGGATGTGGCCCACACCCTGAAGCAGCTGGTGGCTGCCAAGCTGAACTTGAGTGAGGAGCAGGTCGAGGACTATTTCTTTCAGCTCAAGGTTTAATAGGGGGTGTGTGGGCTGAGGGTCCTGGCCAAGGGCACAGGCCATTGGAGCCAGGACCAGGGGTGGCCGGTAGGGCCAGGGGAGTCAGGCCCAGAAAAGTTCTGGACCCCAAGAGAATCTTAGCAGTGGCTGAGATCTGAGCTGGGTGGGCTGTCAGAAGGCCCCACTGCACATCCCGGACTGGTCGCAGCTTTGGGAAGTCGGGTGAATGGGTTCCATTTTGCCGTCTGTGGAATGGGGGCAGGAGAGTCTCCTTGGCCTCTCCCCAAACCCCCTTTCAGAAAGTATCTATGTGGCCAAAGCAAGGCTGTGAACACAGGGGAGAGCAAGGCTGCCCCCTGTCAGCCTCGTGTGAACCTCACACTTCTTATTCACACCCAGGCCGGCGTCTGCTCACCCGCATCCCCGCGGCAGCAAGGGCCTGCATTTCATTGATGAAGATAATAGTGATATTTATCAAGGGTTTACACGGGGCCAAGTGCTTGCCAGGGATTTTCATGTGACATTTCATTCAGTCCTGCCGAGGACTTTATGAGGGAAGCACCCTGCTTTACAGAGGGAAGGAGGCCTAGGGGGTCCACAGCAGTGAGAGCCTAAGTTCAGTCTGCCTCTCTCTGTGGTTCCAAAGCCTGTGATTGTCACTTCCATACTCTCCCTAAGACACATTCATATGTTCAACTGAACATTTATTGAGCACCTACTATATGTCAGGGATAGAGCAGTAAATGAAACAGGCAAAAATTCTTTACATTCTTCTGGGGCTGACAAACCCAAACAAGGAAGAGGTGTAGTGCTTCGGAGAAAAACAGCAGGAAACAGCCCAGGGAATGCTGGGGAGTGTAATTGTAAATAGGGTGGCCAGGGAAGGCAGAGCTGGAAGGCGGCGTCTGAGAATAAACCTGAGATAGTGAGGAGGAGCCCCGTGGATACTGAAGGAAACACTCGGGGCTGTTCTGGAGGGGGCAGCAGGTACAAAGGCCCGGGGGTGGGAATTAAGCTGGCGTGTTGGAAGAACAGTGAGGAGATAACAGGCATTTCCCCAAATGGGTTGAATGGGTCAGTAGATATTTGGCATCAAAAAGTTCCAAGGTCAAATAGCCTGGGACAGTCTTAGTTAAGCCAAGGCAAGCACGTTGCTTTACTACAAGGCTTCTGGGGGGCTTCAACGTGCTGCTGTGCGTCAGGACCCTTCAAGGCTGGGAGCAAAGCAAAGACACAGCGTTTCCCAAATGTATTTATCTCAGAGCTCACACTTCCTGGAGCGTCTTAGGTGGGGGGTGAGCGCTGGGCAGGATATGGGAATGCCAAGTAAAGCTTTGGAGATGGTTAGAGGGCCCGCTCCAGAGCAGGTGCTGAGCGGGCTTAGGCTCTAAACCAGATTCCAGCACAATCTAAGTATGACAGTTGGGAAGACAGATGGCTCATGAAGGTCCACGTGACAGGGAAGCTGGGCAGCCCCAGGGGCTCATCCCAGCCTGGACTTGACACATTGGTCTCTGTTTCCACCTAAAAGAGCCAGAAGTGCTTTCATGAAGATACCTTTGGTGCTGTATTTACCTACAAGCGGACAAGGCGGCAGTGCAGCCCAGGAGCCTGGAGATGTCAGCCCTCTGACGGCCCACAGGAGGGGTTAAAGCTGCCGGCACAGAACTTAACCAAGGAGCCAGCTCTGCATTATCTGAGGTCACAGGGCCTGGGGAGATGGAGGAAAGTGGTATCCCCCAGCCTCACATCTTATTTTTTCACTTCGTTCCCCATCAAGTCCTTTACTTGACCTCCTACCAAGTAGCACCCTGGATTGATCGGAGCCCCCTCTCTCAAGCTGGGGCCTCCCTGGTCCTCTGGAGACGAAATCTTCAATGACAGGCCTGGCAAGTGGGTGAAAGATGGAACCCACTGCTGAGTGCACCACTTCAAGTGACCACCAGGAAGTGCTGTTGCGCCGCTGTGTATTTAACTGCCCTGGGTACAATTGTTTATGCCTCTGTTTAAAAAACTAACACCCTAGTCTGTTCCCAATGGCCACCTGGGCCTTCCCTGTATGATTCCTTGATGGAGATATTTATATGATGGAATTTTACTTTAATCACACTGTATGTGTGTGTGTGGGTTGGGATGTTTTGTAGGGAATGCGGCCCTGAGTTATATAGAGTGGGGAGCTGGTGGGTGTTGCAGCCTGAACAGATCCTCCATAGAGGGACACCCCAGGCAGGCCATG